AGATGATTGATTGATTTAATGATTGAAAATGAAAATTTCAGTGTGAGAGCTGTTGACATACCTTACTTAACTTTACACTCTCACTTAATGAAGTTACAAAATCCAGCAAAAGAAACCCATGTGTGAACTCTTTCTTATGTTTCAGCAGAACATGAGAATGAGTTGGCTGCTTGCCTAAAATGTATGACATGATGCAAAGATTTTTGGAAAATTTAAAGTGTTAATCTTTATTCTTGCTTTTTAAATAAATCGTTTTGTTAGCTCCTTAAACATATCTTTTTGATTTATTTGTTTGATCTTGATATCTAATTTGTTAATTACCATTGTATAATTATTTTTAAACAGCCCCTTTACTATAAAAACTGGTGATCTGATAAGTAATTCCCCCAGAAGTGATCAGGAATTCCCTCAGAAATGATCAAGAGAAGGGGTAATTCCTGATCACTAAAAATTTAAAATCTTTTAAATTCTAATTCGATTTTCAAACAAAAGAAGGTAGCATAGGACTCATCTCATAAACCCTCAAACTTCCAGTAAATATCAAAATTCTATCTTGAATATTTTTTTCACATAATAGATATTTGCATTTTTTGATCAGGTATTACCCCAGGTCACCCTACATTAAAAATTTTAATTTCATACATTTTATTAAATGCTTTTTTTTAGAAATCTTTGTCTAATTAACTCGTAAATCTGGAAAAATTTGAAATCATCATCATCAATGGCTTGACAGCCCAGGATGGGCCTTGGTCTTCTCAAGAAGTTTTTTCCAGGCTTACCTTTTTCCAACTAGTGTTTTCCAGTTTTTAGTTAAGACCAAAAGGTCTTTTTCTAGGCCATCTATCCATCTCAAATTCCGCATATCTCTTTTTCTTGTGCCAATTGGTCTGGCATTGAAAACTCTTTTTGTGGTACGGTCTTCGTCCATTCTGATAATGCGGCCTGCCCATTTTATTCTTCGTCGTTTAATAAAGTTAATATTGTCAGGTTCATTATATGAGTGATAAAGCTCTGGATTTGATCTTCTAAGCCATATACAATTTTTTTTTTAATTCCAAAAATATTTCTCAAGACCTTTCTCTCAGAGGTACCCAACATAGCCTCATCCGTGCAAGATATTGTCCAGGTTTCGCAAGCATATATTAAAATTGATATTAAAAGAGATTTATATAATAAAACTTTAGTTTTTCTATGAATTACATTAGATTTTACGTATTTTCGAATTCCATCGAAACATTTATTGGCTATAGTAATTCCCCTTTGCATTTCCATTGTAATATTGTTTCTGTTGTTGATTACAGAACCCAAGTAAACGGAATGGTCAATAAACTCAAATTTATATTCTTCAATTTCTAAATGGGTGTTATTGAGACTTGTTTTAGTACAGGGCAAAATATTTAGTTTCTCTCTCGTTTATTCTCAGGCCCATCTTGAGAGCTGCTTTCTCTAAAGAAATAAAAGCCTGTCTTAGTGCTATAGGTGTTCTAATAATGTCTATGTCATCAGCAAAGGCCAACAATTGTACAGGTTTATTAGAAATATTTCCCCTGGTGTTAATGTTGGAATCTCATGAAAAAATTTTAATTAGTAAGAAATAATGTTTTCTTCACTTAAATATTCAAAAAAATATTTATAGAGCATTTTTATTTTATAATTTATCTGTTATGTATAACCTGAGTTATAAAATAGCAATAATTTACTAAGTAATTTCTGTTTTAAAACTCCCTCTTTAAATAACACTGGTTGCTATTGTTTTCCCTCTTCAGGCTGGTTTGATATACAGCGAAGAAGAATGGAAAAAAGAGTGGGAAAGTCTTTTGAAACTCTCCTCTTCAGAACCCAGACAATCCAGTGTTCAAAGAAATTCAGAAGAACAACTTTGCAGCTCTAGGTAATATTTATAACTAATATCACAGCTTTTTCCAAAATTTTTACTTCAATACGCGAATGAACATGGTTTGCCCAAGTTATTCAGTGGGTATTATAGTTCGTTCACCAGGAGTTGGCACTTGTCCACCTCTCCTCAGACGATGAGATCATTTTGGCGCGGGAGTGTCCACGCTTGAAATTGAGACAATCCTTAATGCGCGCCAAGCGTAAACAGTGAATTCTTTTTCAGTCACTTATTTCGCTTTATCATCTGCTATTATACCTTTCATTACTGTAGTAGATTGCAGCAAAATGTCTCAAAAAGGACAGAAAGGAAAAATGTCTTAGAAAGGAAACTGAGGGAAGTTGATTGAAAGGGAACTATTCACTCAAAAAAGATAAATGTCATCAAATTTATGAAATGTTTTATAATTTATACAAATTTCGAATTATATTTTAAAAAATGCACATAAAGATTGAGAAATAAATCTTTTTGTCATGCGATTGCCAAATAGCAATGTTGTTCAGGATTGTTCACATCTTTCTCTAAAAAGTAGCGAAATAGTATTGTTTAACATTTTATTATTGAAGCAAATAAAATAAGTTTGAATGAAAAGAAATGAAAAATATCACGTGCACAAAATCACGTGATTAGTAAATGTTTATTTTTGTGTATTATGTAGTTTAGTTCTCTGTGTGTTTTGTCTCAATAAAGTTGTGTTATTAAAACCGGTATGGTAATTTCAAAGGGAATATTTCCCCAAGAAGGAATCCTTTTACATTTTGTGTCACCCAGAGTGAGGCTATTTCCAAATGTATATACTTCTAACTGCTCAGTTCGGGGAATCTATTAAGTAAGACAATCTGCTAATTCTTTCATTATAAAACTGCAGCAACTAGCTGATTCATAAAGCATTAAAATATTTTGAGAATCACATATTTGGATTACGCGCAGTTATTTTTAGATTGCATGCAGTTATGGAACTTGTCAGCTTACTTTTTTTTTACTATTCGCCTTACTTTTTTTTTACTATACTTTTTTTTTAACTATTCCCCTTATATGCAACACTAGAAATAATGGATTCGGAATTTTTTCGTTTTCACTTCTCCGAGTGACCTACTATCGGCTTCTCTTTCCCAAATCAAAACAGATCGTTATGAGTTTGACTCTCACGTTTCTTACATTGATTTTGCATTCTACGCTTCAATGACCCTTACATAAACATTTAAAGCAACACCTTTATTTGTACTTTATTCGCATTATTTTTTGTTTTATTCAGCTTCTTTTACATCTAACATTTTTTTATAGTACAGTCGAACTCGTTTATAACGAGCACAAAAGGACCGTAACATGTACTCGTTAAATCCGAGTGCTCGTAATAAACGGGTCCTTAAGGCAGACGTGCATCCAGAAGAGGGGGGGGGGCTTGGGAGGTCAAATGATTGAGTTGACTTAAAATTTAATTAATACTTACTTTAATTACATTAATTAATTTAATTAAATACTTTTCTTAATTTAATGACAACTATCCCCCCCACCAGCAAAAAAATTTCTAGTTGCGCTACAGTCTTAAAGGAAAGGAAATATAAACGGAAAGAAAAATGAAGGAAAAGATTCTTACCAAAACATTTATTTTTTTCATTAATCTACATATTTAAAATAGTTTGTCAGCTTACTTTTAACTCGCGCATTTCATATCATTTTGAAAAAAAGATAAGACAGAAAGACTAGAAAGATGAGAAAAAAGATTGCAAGACAGAAAAATATTGCTCGCTAAAGCCGGGTCTTGCTCGTTAAAAGCGACTTCTGTTCCATAGACTTAACATTAATCCAACCAAATATTCTCATTTCCCTCGTTAAATCCGAGTTCTCGTTAAATCCGAGCTCGTTATAAACGAGTTCGACTGTACTTGCTATTTAGAATGTTTCAATAATTCATTGAATGAGAATTTCACTTTTAACACTAAACACACCAACACTTATTATATACCTATTTCTACCATAGCCGGTCAAATGACCAGACTTTATGTTTCTTGTATGAAATATGGATGTTTGAAAGGAAATAAACTAAAGAAACTTTATTATAATTAAACAAAATTGTATTTTGCCAATTTTTATGTATTACAAACACAAAGAATAAAAAAATTTAATTCATTGCTCAACTCTTTTTCTTTACATATATAGAGTGTTTCCATTGTATATTTTCCGCAACATATTTCTTCTAATTATTATTATTTCTGTAATTCTTATAATTATTTTAAGAATATTATCTTCTAATTATTATTATTTCTATAACTCTTATAATTAATATTATCTCTTCTGAGAACTTGTGCTGTCTTGATTTTTTCGACATTTTTCTGGGTAAAAAGTAACAATTAGTTAGAAATAAAGTAAAGCTATGAAAATACAATATAAGCTACTCACCAAAACATTTTAGTTTTTCTTACACAAAAATGTGAATCTAAAATTTTAGGTACTCTCTTGAAATTTGAATTTACAGTTATTCTGATTAAACTAATTATGCAACAGTCTTTGCAGAAATTAATCGAATGCAATACTTTGAACCTGCATTACATCGTAATTTCTGATAACCTTATAAATCAATAAATTGTTCTTCCTATCAAATGACTAGTTGTGGTAGAAATAGGTATACGACAAGTGTCATTCAAAACAAACAAAATACAAAAATAATAACAGAATATTAACTGTATATAATTGTTAGAAAAAGTCATTTGCAAAAACGATAAGATGATAAGCGCATTTTTGATGCAAAATTTTTGATTTGACGCATTTTTGATGCAACGGTCATTTGATCGGTTATGGTATGTTTAGTGTTAATATTTGTATTTCTTAGGTGAAATAATTCACGCTTATTGAATCTTAATTTTTACAGCAGTGGCACTCACAGCAGTGATGGGCAATCGGAAGTATATGAAAGCCTGGAAGAAATTCATGTCCTGGCCCTTGCACATGTACTCAAGAGAGCTATCATCATCATAGCGGACACGGTGCTGAAGGACATTACTGGTGAACCTTTTGCTCCCATACCATTCGGAGGAATCTACCTCCCACTGGAGTGTCCACCCTCTGAATGCCTCCGCTCCCCTCTCTGTCTCACCTATGACTCTGCTCATTTCTCTGCCCTGGTGCCCATGGAAGAAAAAAAAAGATGTGATGATGATTCTCAAATACTGGATGGTAACTACCTTCTTCCTAAATAATTTTTATGTATGCCGGGAGCTCCATGGTTAGAATCATGGCGACATTGTCACAAAACCTTAGACTTTGAGGTTGGGCAGCTCCAAGAGCTGGACACATTGACCAGAGGTCTATTGTACCCAAACCCTAAATCTTGATTAGCCAGAAAGCCCCATAGCTGAAATAAAATTCAACAAACACCTTACAGGAACATCTTGCAGTTCCTAGGCCTTAATACAATGTTGCCCTAAATGTTCAAATCTTTGAGCAGAATATACCTCTTAATCACAAAGTATATGTTGTGATGTCTCTTCTTCAAGGTGACAACCTCTGCAAAGAGGATTAGTTTCAATACCCATTACGTATAGATGTCCCCTGAGGATGCAGTGTCCACTGAGAAGACCAATGATCTTCCTCAAGCTGTTCCTGTTTAACTTTAGAAGCTCTTTTTGACGTACACTGGGGCAGTCACAATTCAGTTCCTTAGCTTTTCTCTGACAATCTGCTTCGCGCTATTGCTCATGGGCAATTTTTCCATAGAGCTTGAATATAGGTGCCCCTGAAAGAGGTGGGAGAAATTCCCAAGTCTGGTTCAGGACCCCAGAAAATTGCCCTAGAGCCAGCTCGTGCTGCTTCATCAGCTAACTCATTTCTTTTCTGCAGAAATTTTCAATCAGAATTATATTCAAAAGATGCCTTTCTCGCACATCGGAGTGGGGGGAAAATGCTTATGATCTTTCTATTTTCTTTTGAGAATAACGAAAAATAAGGAATAATGAAGTCAAAAATTTAGTTTTCTTTTCTGTAGAAATTTTCGCTCTATTTTTTCATGGAGTTATAACTACTGATTTACACATAGCTTTTAAAATTCCTTATTTTTAAACACTATTATTTATTACAACAACAAATATGAATGTAATAATGAATTACAAAATGCGAAAAAAGAAATAATTAATGTGTTATCTTCCTAAAAATGGGAGAATATTGCCCATAATATTAGAATAAAAAAAATATATTCCGTAATAAATTTAAAAAAATATTTTATGTGATCTGATTTTTTTTGTTTATTTACTTATTTATTTTTTGAAGTTAACGCTTCTGTTACTTTAAATTTGTAACACTTATATTTGTTAATTTTAAATATCCTTCAGAAAAATATTAGTGTTAGAGAGGCATGTCGCAGAAAGCCCGAAAAAATTCTTCTGCAGGGGGTCGTGATATTGAAACATTTTAGCTCATTTTACTATGTGCCTAGCTTATTAGAAAAGTCTCCAATATTTTCTATTCAGCATGATATTTTTCAGGCTTATTACAATCAAACCTATGCCTTCAGGTCAAGGATGTACAGCCTATTGTCCGTTTGACAAAATTTGCCTCCAAACTTTATAGCTTGGTCTCTAAACAGTTTTAAACATGAATAAAAAATACGTGAAAGAAAGAATTTACTGGTCATCCTGGTTTTTTTTATTCACTTTCAACTATTGTCTTATTTTAAGGTTGAACTTGATTGTAACAATTTTCTTGATTGTTTCAAAATTTATTTATGGCTATGAGAAAAATGTAACTTACTGCAAATTTTGCATGTTGCTTTCAAAGTGCGTAGCATTTTTAAAAAGTGCTTAAAAATGCTTATTCATTTCATTTTTTAAAAGCCCCCTTCGAAAATGAGATTTCTTTTCTTTACTAAGTCGATTTTCACCATGTATTATGCAAAGCTTGCTTTTCACATCGTTCTATTCAACATTTTCACAATTTATTCAACCAAAATCTATTTTGGCGTACCCTCTGTCCTTAGCATATGAAAGAGCTAATCGTTTTACATATTTGATGAAATACTTGCAGGTCCACATGTGCTTCTACTGATGGGTTTGGTGAGATTCTTGCCCTCTCATGTGCAACTCTGCTGCATTTTGCAAGATATTCTCAATTTCAGGCTTCATTTTCCACCCTCTGATATAGAACCGAAAAATCTCTTGAACTTTTTATAATGGATTATTTAATCAAGAAAAGAGCTCTTTGTCAGAAACTTTATTTTATCATGATCATATAAAGTCTTTGAAAATTATTTCGCATTTTGTTAGTATATAGTACTAAAAAATATTTTTTGACTGCTTAAAAAGTACTTTAAAAGGTGCTTATTTTTTTGTTGAAAGATTTGGCTATTCACCCTGACTTTGTGTATGCATATTACTTTCAATTTGGATACCACCTTACTTTTTTCAATTACAATTTAACCTTACTCATTTTGGTATGGCATGTTTTAGAATCCTGCTATCAGAAAAAGATTTTTGCTTTAGGTAAGATGTTCTATGATTATATGCTCACTATGCTCATGTTCTATAATATGTTCTATGATAATTGAGACTAATTTCCATGGACCTTATATTATGTCCATGCCTGGAATACAAACATGTAATGAATCTGGTTTAAGTAACTAGACTGATGAAACAACTAAATTAGTTATTAGGTATATTTTCTATCTCACCTAAAAATATTCGGGCTCATTCCATATAATTTAAAATAAATCAGACTAACTGAGAAATGAATGATATATTTTCTTTGTAGAATAAAAGTATCTTGACACATTCCGATAAGTTTAAATGTTTTAGACTGGTTAGAAAATATTTTAGACTTATTCTGGTGTTTCACCAAATGTTGGCAACGGTTTCCAAAGTGCCAGATTTTTCAATTAACTTATGACATACTCATAAACTTTTATTTGCTATTAGTCTTAAGCTTTTGAGAAACTTATCTAATGATACCCCTGCCCCTTGGAAGTTGCTCCATCTTCAGAGTTTAGATCGATGTGATGCACATTTTGACCGTAGTCAAACCAAAGTTGGCAAAGTTTAGGACAGAATGAATTAATCCATTGTTTAAACCGTCCTGTCCAAAACCCCTTTGTCTTGAACTGTCCCAAACTAATTTGTGTAATATTGTCCAAAACCCTTTTGTTCAAATTATATCACAATTTTAAAAAAATAATGTGACAAATAAAAGGTTAATTTTTGAACAAGAAACAAAATAAAGACAAAGTTTTATTTTATTAAAAAAAATTTATTATTATTCATAATGTTGCATTATTTATCCTTATGCAAAAACACAATTTATCAGTATTAAAAGCATGTTTATTTATATTTAAATGATAAGGTATTCACTTTTATTGTTCAATAGATTATGGAGCTTCAAAAGTTATGAATCTTTTCTTATTATATTTTTTTCCTTCAATAAGTTAAAGCAAATTGTATAAAAATTATCAAATATTTATTAATGTATGAAATTATTATGTATACAATGGTTACACAAATAGAATTTTTACCTTTTACCAATGTTCAAGGTTTTGGACAGTTTTAGACCATTTAGGACAGTTTAAAACCCATGTGTCCTATCCAAAACCAGTTTAGGACGTCCAAAACTCAAACCCTGCCTCAAACTCTTAGAACTTTCTACATAAAGCAATAAAGTTCATTTATGGTTACTGGAATTAGTATTTATATATATATTTCTGTGAATGATCGAAATTGATAGTTGTTGACTTCCACCGGTGAATATTGAAAATCACATAGTCGCTTTTGTAAATGTCCAGAGTATATATTGGGTCTAGTTAAGTGCCACTCTCTGGTATGCATTTGCCTGGTATGTCCATCATCAATGTTTTATTAAGGTAAAGTGCCAATGCCTTAATGCATTTAATCGGTACACTGAACACTGATGTTTCTCCTAATCTATCCTCATCAGATATTAAAATATCGAATAAATATAATAACATCAGCGAATAAATTAATATCAAATCGGATATAAGAAATAATTCGGACATTCTCCAAAGCGTCTGTGTTGGTTGACCGGTGAGAGTCAACTTTCTCTTGATTTCCGTCATTCATGGTAATACATATACAGTGATACCTCGAGATACGAGTTTAATTCGTTCCGTAACCTTGCTCGTATCCTAAGCAGTTTTCCCCATTGAAATTAATTTAAATGCCATTAATCCGTCCCAGCCCCAAAAATGTTACCCTCAATTGTTTTTGTTACGTGTTTTTGAATACCTAAAATGTATTTATAAATGACAAATATTGTTTAAAAACATAATAAAAGAGAATGTAAAGCAAGAAAAAAACTGGTTTTATAAAGTGTGCATACATATTTGTATTTTGGTCACTTAAATGCAACTTACACACAACTTAAATGCTACTGTATACATAATTTTAGTCACTGCTTTTCTCTTCACTGGTCTTTGTTTTTTTAGCCGGATTTAAAAAAAACTGTCCAAGAAGGTTTGTTTCTTCCTCCTTTTCAGAATGCTGCAGAAATGAGTTAGGCAAGTGTCATTAAGTAGCTCCGGTGTACGACCTGTTGCAACTTTTTCGGGGTGTTTCTTTTACTCGAACTGTGGAATTCTCTCCCACATTCACAAGAACCCTTTTATCTCACTTGTAGAGATAACCTTTCCCACCTCTGGCTCTTCCTCGAGACCAATTTCTTGCAGCACCCCCGAATGCTGCTGCGACTGAAATGAATTTTTCATATGCGAGTTAAAATGAATTTTTCATATTTTGGAAGTTCCTGGCTCTTAGAAATTCAAAATTTCAAACTTTTTTTCTTTCCAATCTGCCTCTGTACTCTGTGTCAATTTTTGTTTTGTGCTTACAGTTCTTTTTTGCTTTGTTTCAGCTGTTGTTCCAGTGACTGATCCAGACAATAAATTGCTGCCTTTACAATTTGCTGTAGACCCTGGTCCAGAGGTGAGATGGGGTCAGGATGAGAATGATTCGTGGGTGATTGCTAGATTGACCCTAACAGATAAAGAGAAATTGATGCGCTTGAGTGAGTTTTTGGACATCCAGAATATAGAGGTTATTGAGGATAAAGAAATGAACAACCATTCATCCGATAATAATAAGAGCGTCGACCCTTACGAATCGGACGACAGTGCCACCGACGGTGGAATCTCTTGTACCGGTGGCAAAAACAAAAAGAGTAAAGCGGCTAAGCAGTTCCAGACCGTTGCAAAGCAGTTTGGTAGTCTGGGTCGAAGCATGAGTAAAAAACTGAAGAACATTGCAAAGAGGAGCGGATCTTTCAAGGGTGAATCCACCACTTTCAAACGTACGTCTGCAGGTCTGAAAAATAAAAGAACATTGAGCGGTTTGCCTATGATGTCTCAGAACTCAAACACAGGAGGCAGCTTGAGTCCACGACAGGTCGTAGTAGCCTGCCTGAACATGGAGAAGAAACACGAGCACCAAAAGAAACTCATTCAGAATTACCTCACCTCAGCTATTGACAGATATCATAGCGGTCAGCAGCTCAAAGGATCTTTCGGTAAACTTTCGGCACCCGCCTGCATCAATTCCGGTTGCTCCAGGCCGAGTACACCCTCTACCAGCTACTTGTGTTCCGATTGCTATGTGAAGCAAAAGTACGAGGAGATAGAATTTCATGGCCAGAAGCGTGAATTCAACAATGGCCCTATTGTTGTCTCTGGAAAATCATCATTTTATACCGAAATAGATAAAACCATGAGGGACTGTGTTGAGAAACTCCCTATAACCAGTGTTCATCGTTTAACCAATGGGTGTAAAAATTCTATATTCTATGATACCCCCTACTCTTCCTATCCCCATTCTAATTACCAAAATGGATCTGTTAATCGTGATTCCTCATCAATTCTGAAAGTTATAGATGAATCATCTTAGTGCATTTCATCAAAATTAACCTCACATCATTCATTATTCAAAATTATGGATAAATCATCTTAGAGCATTTCATATGAATTAATTACTCGTGCCTTTGTTTCTGTTGAATAAATTAATGGGAGCTTTAACGGGATTGTTCTCTGTGGCTTTAAATTGTGAATAAAGCAATAATAATCCACTAATGTCAGTAATTCATATTGAAGTCAAGAACCAGTATTTGGTGCAGAAATACCAAGTATTGATCTTTAAGAAAACTTTCCTTTTTTTATTTTACTTTATAGATAAACCTAAATACTTAATTGATTACTGAACTTTCAGTAGTGTTATCTGATGTCTATTCAAATTTTATGTTTGGCAATATGCATAACTTTCTTGTCGTTTTGTTACCATTAATTGTTTATATCCAAAAATCTACATTCCCCTATAGTTCCTTTTGTTTACTAATATAGTTATCTATACAGATTATTTTATTGCATTTTCAAATAGATGTTATGTTAGTGTAATCTAAGAACGTCTATACTTGTTGAGTTTATAAAGTTTATTAAATTGAATTCATGTTTATAACTAATTATGTTATGCAAAAATTTTCATTTGATTTTGATTTTTTTTAACCAAATTTTTTTGTTGATAATGTAAGGGAAAATTGTTGTTTCATATAAACATTGTTTTTATCAGGTTTATCATTCATCAGTTTTGTTATGCTTTAAAGATTTATTCTTATAGAAACCTTAATGAAAAAGTAACGATTTTAAACAGCATAAAATAAATCTCAAGAACTCATACTTTTTGTTATTTTCCCTTATGTGTGTATTTTATTTTTAATATAATTTTAAGATGATAAAATTATTGCATACTTTTCAAACTATATTTGTAAAAATATTTTAGATTTTATTACAGTGTTATAGTGTTCTTCAATGTATTAGTATATTTTTCTTGGATAATTGAAAAAAAATTACTTTGTGAATTGTTATTTGAAAGTTTAGACTTAATGTAAGTCAAAAAATTATAAGATTTCCTTTTGTTTTGAACTAAAACTGATTTTTTTTTCCTTGAAAAATGTCCATAGCTTTGTTATTACAATCGTTGCTTTATCTTTTGCATAGCTTAATATGTTTCGTTTTAAGTTTCATTGTGTTTGTAAATTACTTTGGCATTGAAACTAATTTTTGGAAGAAATTAACACTGATTGTTTGTTTGTCTTTTCTAAAAATTATGCATAATTTTACTTTTGTAATCATATTGTTGCTCTATCATTAGGGTAACTTCATAGTTTAGTTATCAAATTTAGTTGCATATGAAAATCTTGGAAAATGCTTAGTATGAAAGCTTTTAAGAAGAAAAAATAAAGCTGCATGTTGTTGTTTTTTTTCCTTCAAAAAATGGTGTTTAATTTTATGTTATGTAACGATCAAATTGTTGTTCTACCTTTTTTTTGTACTGATATGTTTTTCGCTAAATTTCATTATATATACAGTGAATCCTCCAGGAAAGACCACCTCTATTTACGACCACTTTTGGAAGGCACAGAATTTTTTCTGTAGACTTTTGTCAGGCTTCTGTCTATGTTTTTTATAAGGTACCTATTTTGTGAAAATTTAAACACAATTTGTGAAAATTATATTAAAAAATCAACACAAAATTGTGGTAAAATGAGAAAATATTTTCAAAAATTGTCACTACAAATAACAATCATTTATGACTAATTTTAGTAATTTTGTATATATATTTGCCCGATATGTTAAAAAACAATTTTGCTATTGTAAAATTTTGGGCTTAAAATTTTATCCAAATTTAAAAATCATTGTCCATAGTTGAATTTAATAAAAACATTCATTTAACAGTACTAGCACTAAAAGTTATCTCNATGAATAATTTTAGTAATTTTATATATATATTTGCCCGATATGTTCAAAAACAATTTTGCTATTGTAAAATTTTGGGCTTAAAATTTTATCCAAATTTAAAAATCATTGTCCACAATTGAATTTAATAAAAACATTCATTTGACAGTACTAGCACTAAAAGTTATCTCCATTATGAGAACATTTTCGACTGGGTCGTACAGAAAAAGTTTCACAGGAAGAAAAAATTTTTCATAAAAGAAAAGGTTTTGCTGGAATAAAATTAGAATAATGTTTAAAATAATAGTTTGACTTCCTGTAAACTTTACAGAGTTTACTTTAACTAGGAAAACAACTGCACAAAATGCTGTTAAGATCAAAAAAGAAAACACGAAAAAAATATCGAAACAAAAAATTTAACGAAACAATTCAGTAGATTAAAATGTATTCAAAATGTTTGTGTGAGGCTCTTATTTAGAGCGCTCTTTTTGATGATATGTTGCATGCATGTTGCACTAAAGACGATGATTTACTTTTAGAATTAAAAATTAAAATAGAAAGAAAAAATTCATTTTAGAAAAAAAACAAGCATCTCAAATAAACAAACTTCTTCCCACCTTTTAAAGCTTATTAATTTTTATGCTGTAAAATTACATGTAAACTTAAACAAAAAAAAACATAATTGCTTACTTACTTAAAAATTAAGCTTTATCATTCATAAGAGGTAAATTGAGATCATTTTTATCAACGCTAAATTTTATGCATCGATTCCTCTTTTCATGACGTCAGCTGAAGTAGCATATCCACACTAAGAAAATGACTGAAATTAAAATCAGTTGCGAAAAATCATGTATTTTCGATAACAATTTTGAAGTCAATGGAAGTAACCTCTAAGAACGACCCATCAACGACCATTTTACTGTCTGTGGAACGGTCGCTTCCGAGAGGTTTCACTGTATTTGATTTGTCCTGATATTTCTGCACCGATTTGTACAATATCATTAAATGTGTGTTGTTATCAATGATGTGAAAATTTTAACTTTAAAAATAAGTGAATAAAAATCTGTTATATTTTGGTAGAAATATTTATAAATTGTAACTAACTATCCTGCCATTTAACCAAAATTGTTGTTTACTTACCTGCTGAATTGATTAATTTTTCTTGTGAACAGAATAAAATGATGACATGTTTTGTTTCGTTTTCTTGGAGAAATAAATTGTGAAAATAATTGTAAAAATCTATTTTCCATTAAAATTGAAATAAACTTTGCATCTAAAGAATGGACAATTTAAAGTAAATTTTGTCCTCTTTCTAGGATTAATATACAGTCGAAATATTACGCATTAATATATGTTAGTTCACTATACCCAAATTCTTTGAAAAATGAATTTTTAGCATATGACAGCATTGTTGAAAAAAAATTTTACGATAGTACATAATGTGGCAGTTTTTAGCATTGTTGGAAATAATGAACGGTTTGTTTCTAAATTATTAACTGATTCAATAGATAATAAATCCAATATTAAAATATTTAATTGGTTTTAATTTTCGGTGGGAAAAAATGAGTGGTTTTTGATTGACTACTATTCAAATTTAATAAAATTTACTAATTTATGTATCAGCAAACGAAACCAATATTAAAGTTGGAGACATAAAAATAAAAAACTTAAGTCTACTATAAACGAACTACCAAATTTTCAGATATCCAATGCTCATCCAAGTCTTTATTATATCCCAGGTATATTGGATATCTCACCGTATGTTGGATTTGAAAGAGTTAACTTAATGCTTTGAAGATTTAAGCTGAATTAAGATTTTTTCTCCTTTAATAATTAGATCAATTTTCGAAAAATAAAATTTCTATGTTGCCCTGAAAATTTCTGAACAGGATTTAAAAGACTTTTGACTATTAAAATTATATCATTAGTTACTGCAATATAGGGATGCATAAGCTATGGTTCGGTAGCCTCTGTATTGTCTTAAACATGTACAGGGTATTCATGCACCTGGAGAGTCTTGAAAAATCATGGAAAGTCATGAATTTCGGTATTGAACAAAATTTGTCATGATTTTAACTATTTGAAAAAAGAAAATCCGGGATTCAGGTCACCTTTTAAAATGGAATATCCCCTCCCCCAATTTCATGGTGTTCTGAATATCAGAATTTGTAACAAAATCCGGACTCACAGTCATATTTTATTAAAATATAAAATGTTTTTATCCTGTTCTGTAAAAATTATGGTGTTCTTTCAAAAAATGAAGGAAACTACATCATTTACAGAGCTAATTATCTTTTAAACTTCTGAAATTCAGAATTTTTTTTATTTTATCAAATTAAAATTCTAGCTGAAGCAAGCCAGTCATTGGGCGAATTTTTTTTATTCCGAAATGAGAACAGAAAAATCAGTAACATTTCTTTCCATTCTGATGAACAAGAAAAGTATTTTTAGAATATAATTCTGCAGAAAATAAGAGAAAAAAATTGAATTTTTTTCAGCTATTTTATTGCTTTAATTCTTTCTTTAACTGTTTTTTAAATTTAAAATCTATAAGTATGAAGATACAGAGTATAACAGTTTTGGTTATACCTGTCATTTCAATTAATGTTGTTATAATACTTACTTTTTTAAATTTATTGTTGTATTTTTGTCAAAAATTCTTGGATCTTAAGTCATGGATTTGAAAATCTAAAATGTAGCAGGTACCCTGCATATATTAATAAAATGTCATCTGAATGGGGTCAAAACTACATGGCATTCTTACTGTGGGAGACCAGCAAGTGAGTATCTCTATCCTCATTGGTTATTGAAATATGGCATTTGCTTACATTAGCAACTGTTCTTGCCATTCTATTTTGAGTTAACCAAGCCTGTTAAGTATCAATTCTCTTAAGTGACACATTCTAAATTCCTTCGCAAAGAATCTTTCTCGAAGACTTCAATTCTTTCACTATATATTTATAGAGACTTAACACAAAGACAGACACGTAGCCATGTGGAACATAAACTGACTGTGCATCGAAGTTTTCTGGTACACAGAACAAAAATATATCAGGGTTACAATAAAATGTATAAACAAATAAGATATCATTAACTCCTGGATCAAGTATTGGGAGAAATTTGCCTTCGTGGAGGATTTTTGATGGAACTACCCCGCATTTGCGTTAAACCACAAAAACCTTCCACAATTATCCTGACGGCAAGGGGACTCTAACCGTGATCCGTCTACCACTGAGGATACTTTACGTCAGCACTGTGGTCGGTGCAAGCTGAATGCGGTCGTGGTGGACTTCTTAATGGAACGAACCTGCATTTGCGTTTACATGGAGAGGAAAACCTCCCACGATTTTCCTGACTGCAAGGGGACTCTAATCCATGATCCGTCTACCACGTCAGTACTCTTTCATATTTTATAACCGTCGTTGAACCGACCGACCCAGATTTGGGTTTACGACTACTAATGTTCAACTCCGTAGCCTTGTAATTTTGAATCAATCCAGAAGACAAGGAATCTCCTGGATCAGTACTCCCAGAGCAGTGGCGTACGCAGAATTTTTTCAAGGGGGGTGTTCATAATTTTCTGAAACTACTAAGAGAAATTCGAGTCTGTAATAAAGCACTATTATTTCCCTAATTTAGACAGCTAGATAATTTTGACTTTTTATTTAAACAACATTGTTTAGTTAAATTTTGATTTGATTTTTTAAGTTTAAGAACATAATGTAATATTTTCTGAAAAAAGTTTAATGTCATAAAAAGGTAACAAAAATNCCACTTTCACATTCATCAGATTTTGTTATGCTAGAAACGTTTTCTTCAACGGAAGTATCACATTTCTGTACAACAGTAAAACTTACATTGGTACTAGATGCTGTCACCTCACTAAGTTCAGGTCGTGATTTTTTCTCAAAGTAATTAAAAATTGTTAAATTCTAGCTTTTTGACATCCTAAAGATCCAAGAACAGCAAATATATATATATCACGTGATTTTGGTTTCAAAAGTACAACCCTATTATAGTAAATGTTTTTTCTGTATTCTGAGAAATACCATGTGAAAAAAAAGTAGGCATAAGGCACATAAAAATATATAGTCTTAAAAAATAATAGCTCGCATAATTTTTACTAAAATTTTTATTTTTGCCATTTTGTCTGAGCTCAAGGGGGGTGTTTAAACCCCTCCCTTGCGTACGCCACTGTCCCAGAGATATGATTTGTTATGGTAACATGGAGGACTTTGTGACTCGACTGATTTAACGTGCATCGGTCACCATTTTTCTACACGAGTAATCTTCGGCCGATGGAGATCAAACCCACGACCTCTTGGAAATGGGCCCAGTGCCCTACCAACCAAGCTATCCAACGTCAATACTGTGGTTGGTGCAGAATTCGTGTCGACCAGCCAACACTGGTATTCAAACCTGTGCTACCTCATTTAGAGGCGAGCGCTCTATCCCCTGAGCCAAAACGGCTCTTGGGAAAATTACTTATATTAATAACGTAAAGCAGTTCTTGATAAATAGA